CAAGTGAATGTCAGGGTGGGCGAGAGTAGTTTCAATCGTTATACAATTTCTTTTGGATTCCTATACGATTACTGAAAGGAAAGTTATCCTTCAAAATGCTCTTTTGTCATCTTTTGTCAATTTCATCGAATTTGCTCCACTCATTTCTGAACACCAAACTTGTAAACTTAGAACTCTTCTCACGGACAAAGAAACGGTACATTCTGGAATATAAATGCATTGGGTCCAATCAACTTAATTGTACCTATATACTTTCGTTGTCAACATTGAAATATGTCGAACAACAATTTTCCAAAAATCGTTCGTCTGTAGATCGGCAAATCTTCGAAATTCTTTGCCACTGGAAGTATTCCCAGGATCTTATAATCTCCAGAAGTGAAAAAAAAACTCCTACACACCTCCATCTGCCTATCTTCTTCTTTTCCTAACATGACGAAAACATAATGTGGTGGCTGTGGGGTGCTTCTCATGTCTCCAAATTGCATCTACACTCACCGACAAAAAAAACCGGCCACCAAAAAAATTGGCCAAATTTTTCACCCTGTGAATTTCATAATACTTGTCCGATTTTTGTGAAATTGCGACCAAATCGAAGATTCATGTTCCGGAATGTTAGCCTTAATATTAGTTTCCGAGAAAAGCAGATGGCTTGATCATTATACAGGGAAAAACCAAAGTAACTCTTTCGCCGTTAACTTCTCAACGCCCTGTGGTGAAATTGAGTGGTTGAACTTGGCTTTATCATGTTTTGGATTGAAGTGTCATTCTTTCTTGATACAATAGTTTTCGATTCACGTCATGATCTTATTTTCAAAAAAAGATAAGAGCGTTTTAAGGAAGTATGGCATTTTTCAATTCTCATTAACAATAATCAGAACCTACATATACGATACGTATTGATTAACAACTTAGGAAATTAATATCACTTATTTCCATCTCATTTTCGTGACACTTACCGGAAAAAACCTTGATTACAACAAACAAACAGCAGACCTTCAATCAATAACGAGTATGCCCTCCTCGAGTTTGAATTACAGCATTCAACCGCCGTGGCATCGAGATAATCAAATCCCTAAATCAATATTGGTTCTGAAATATTGTTAATGAAAATTTTAAAATTCCATACTTTCTTGGAACACTTGTATCTTCTCTTGAAAATAAGATATTGACGTAAATCTGGAACTATTGCGTTGAGAAGGGCCGGAATAGGATCACACTTCAATTCGGAACATGATGAAGCAGAACGTTGGAGAATGGTTTTTGAAACCCTTGTATCAAGAACATTGTGTTAGGAAGAGATCACACATCAATCGAAAACATGATGAAGTTAAGTTTAACCACTCACCTTTGCCACAGGGTGTTGAGAAGTTGAGGGTGAAAGAGTAACTTTTGTTAAATACTGTCTGTAGGTTAATCGAGGAGGTGGTACATTCATTATTCCAAATTTTTTGGGATTTTCTCTCCTCGTTTCTATAAAATAATAATATGAATATTATTTCAATATACGTGTAGTAAGGACAAATCAGATGATTTGCCCCAAAATGTCACTGCGTTTAAAGAATTTTTCTATCAGAGAGCCTAAAAGAAAAATTCACTAGCTTGTCAGTGACAATTTGTATTGAAATAATTTTTGGAGAAGGGAAATAAAGGTATACAGGGTGTTTTATAATTGAATGCTGATCCTCAAGGGCGATAATCCTTGGATGATTTCAAAGAGGAAAGTTCATATCAACATATGTCCTAAACCTGTTAGTTATTGAGCTACAGGGTGATGAAATTTCAAGAAAAAAATGAGTTTTTCATCATGATTTTTTATCACTCTGAGATATTGTTATGATATTTTGTATACACCTTCTCATTATCAAGGGGCATTTTTTAAACGTGAAAGATATTTAAAAATTCCCACCAGTGGCGTCCGTACGGGGTTTGAACTGACAATTTTTGAAGAAAAAAATAGTACGCCACTGATTTTTCTAAGAACCAGATCTTTTTTTCAATTCTTATTCATTTTGGAGCAAATTTGGTCCCTAGACTTACTTTCATACAACGTACTGTTTTCGCGTAAAAAAATAAAAACCAAAGAATTTTGTTCCTTCAGTTCTTGGATATTGTTTTTGGTAATTCAGTAGACACCCTCTATAAGTGGAAACACATTTCGTTTTGGGACGAAAATCAAACTTTTACTTTTACCATTGATGTCCTCGTAGACCTGATATTGAATGTTTTGTTTAAAAAATCGCTGTACGCTTCTGATTTCAACACCCTGTAGCTCAAAAACTAAGAGGTTCAGGACATATGTTGATATGAACTTCTCTCCTTAAAATCATCCAAGGATCATCGCCCTTTAGGATCAGCATTCAATTATGAAACACCCTGTATAGAAAAAATATCAAATTTTCACTTATCTTTGGACGTTTCGGGACCGGTTCTGCTCCCGTTTTCAACATGAGAAGAGATTATTTCAATAGCGAAGTCGTATAATGTCTTGAAGCGTTTCAGTTTTCAATGACAATTGGTGACGTTGGCAATCAAATGAGTTACAGGATGTTTTCATTAATTGATCTTGAATTTACCATTTTCATGTTAAGATTTTAGTAGTGAATACCATGTTCTGTCTATATCAACTGAACAAGAAGCAATGCTATTGTCTCCGTTCAGAAGAATGCAAGCAGATTCCTTGATTTTTCTCTTCTGGTTGTTATCTTCTTTTCCAATAATTTTAATATCATTCCACTCTGCCATATGTTGTCCGTCTTCAGTAAGGATATGTTCAGCTAGTTTCGATTTATCGATGTTTCTTTTCTTTATATTGTACTTATGTTCCTTCGTCCTTACTGAAAGAGGTCTCTTGGTTTCACCTGTATAAAAATTTCCACAAACCCAAGGTATACTGTAAATACAATTTTTTGACGATTGTTCTTCATTTTTCGGCTTTGTTTGAGTTAGAATTGATCTCATTGTATTTTCAGTTTTGAACACAGTTTTCACTTGAAATTTATCACCAACACGTTTTATTTTTTCAGATATGCCGGGAATGTATGGTATTATATTTGTCGTTATTGATGGTTGATTTTGTTGTGGTTGACCCTGTTTGTTTTCAATTTGATGAATCGTCCTATCGACAAAATTCTTTGGATAAGAATTGAGTTGGAGAACATTTTTAATGTGGTGGACTTCGTTATTGAAAATTTGTTGGTCAGATGATATTGATTTGGCTCTATCATGGAGTGATTTGATTATTCCTTCTTAATACTTTTCTGATGATTTGATTGAAAGTTCAAGTATCTGTTAGTATGGGTCTTTTTACGATAAACACTCGTTACAAAGATGTTATTTGATTTTTCAATAAGAACATCTAGAAACGGTAATTGATTATTAGATTCAATTTCCAAAGTGAACGGAGACATTAGCATTGCTTCTTGTTCAGTTGATATAGACAGAACATGGTATTCACTACTAAAATCTGAACATGAAAATGGTAAATTCAAGATCAATTAATGAAAACATCCTGTAACTCATTTGATTGCCAACGTCACCAATTGTCATTGAAAACTGAAAAGCTTCAAGACATTATACGACTTCGCTATTGAAATAATCTCTTCTCATGTTGAAAACGGGAGCAGAACCGGTCCCGAAACGTCCAAAGATGAGTGAAAATTTGATATTTTTTCTATATACCTTTATTTCCCTTCTCCAAACATTTTTTCAATACAAATTGTCACTGACAAGCTAGTGAATTTTTCTTTTAGGCTCTCTGATAGAAAAATTCTTCAAACGCAGTGACATTTTGGGGCAAATCATCTGATTTGTCCTTACTACACGTATATTGAAATAATATTCATATTTTTATTTTATAGAAACGAGGAGAGAAAATCCCAAAAAATTTGGAATAATGAAAGTAACTTTTGTTTTTGCCTGTATATAAGTATCAAGCCACCAGCTTCTCTTAGAAACTAATATTCAGATCAACATTCTGGAACATCAATATGAAAATTGATCAAAATGTTACCAAAATCGGACGAGGATTAAAAGAGTTACAGGATGAACAATTTGGCAAAATTTTTTGATGGCCGGTTTTTTTTGCCGGTTAGTGTATTTTGGTGGTATAACGTCACTGCAAGTCTATATACTCTCACCATTATTAATTTGATAACCGCTAGCAAAAATTACCGAATTCATTATCTACTGTAGTCCATGCCCTAGTTGTTGGTATAGCTGGCAATTGCTTAATAACTTGCAAGTTACGTCTACGAAGATGAGTCGTTGCACTCCATTATTATATTTACGCCATGATTCCATTAACAAGATAATAATTACAGGAAACAAGAGCACGCGTCAATTAGACATGTGGGAGTATCTTCCATAGCAATCTATCTAAAGTGCTCAAAAAATTAAGTGGAACATTCATATTTTTGACGATTTTCAAAATGCGATAATTTTTTTGCAAATGAACCGATTTTCAATCGAAATGCAGTGTTCTTTCTGTTTAGGATTCATTGTTCGAAACGTTTCGAAGTTTTCCAGATATGACATACCAAGTGGTCAAAAAGTCTGTTACATAAGGGAAAGAGTTCAGGATCTTCCTTAATAGAGGTCACATTAATATCTTCATCTTTTGGGTCCTCGTATTGGTGTATCTAGGAACTTCCTCAAAAAGTTCCTGAGACCTCTTCAAGACGTCATTAATATGTTTAAAATGGTAATATTGAGCCCTCAAAAGGTTATCAAAACGTCTTCGTGTTATCTGGGTTATATTGAAAGTATTTTCAACAGTCCCGCTATCTGGTGCCTCTTTGTAAACACTGAGAACCTTCCGAACCGTTACACAAGAAGCAACCGAAGAGATAGCTGACTCACTCTTACAGAAAACAAAAGCTTGCAGGCAGTACCACAATGCAGTACTAACGACAAAGACAAAACCAAATCTTCACGTCCAATGCACTCTACCTGTTTCTCTTCGTATATTTCCCACCTTCTAGCAGCAGTCGTTGGCTGGTCTCATGTTATCATCGTCTTTTCAATAGACGCTAACGTTAACTGCTCTGTCTCATTCATCATTCATTTTATTGCTTGATTAGCGCAATTTTCTCGAGCAAATATTTACGAATTATCATTATGAATGTCGCGACAAATTGTTTAGACAATGCACTTGTTGGTTTTGTCATTGTTGTGAAGCAAACTTAGATGCAGTGATCCAAACGAAAGAATAAGGTGTAATGTGAATTTGTTTACATTTGCTTTGTGTGCAACAGGTGAACTTTTGAGGTTAGGTGCTTACATGTATGGATACATGTAGCTGATACGATTTAGCGGGACTCTTACCATCAGTATGGAACCATGTTGATTTGTTGGTTTTCTCTGCTTTCTGATGGATAATTGATCAAGCTGAAGAAAAAATACGGTAAGAATTTTGCCTCTGATGTAATCGTCAATATACTATTCGAAGTACAGTCGTCTTCAACGAACATGTCGCAGTTGGACGGTATGAGCGCTCTTATTGCAGCGGTGATCAAGGGAGCTGACACCGTCCATGTGCGACATGATCTCTGAAGACGACTGTACCTACCTACCTATATTTTCTATAGATATTCTTTTTTACCTACTACTACAATCATGCTGAGAATTTTCAATCATTTGCATAACATCCAAAACATTTGAATACATTATAATTAGTAAATGAGTTTGAGTTCATTAGTTGTGTAGGTAGGCCAGTCATTTTCAATTATTATAATAATTATTTATTGTACTTATCAACAGGTATGATGGTAAAAAAAACCCTGTTTATTTACTGTTCACCATCGATTAAGAATCAACAAAAATAGCTCTTCGATATTGATATTATATTGTTCAAGGTTTTCTATCTTCCAGTGACTCAAAGATCTATTATAATATTTAGAAGTATATAATATATAGTATAAAGCTACCCTTTGAAATAATTGCAATTTCGAAGTATTCTCTAGCTCTATTATATCGGATTCGGGAACCGAATGTATTCCTTTATTTATCTCTTCGAGTCCACGAATTATCATTCCATTTTCAAAATTTGCTCATAATCCTCAACAGTTTTCTCGAATACACTCTACTCCTAAATTCAATTGTTTTACAAATATTAAGGCCTGAAAGATGAAATTCTATTCATTTCAAACCCAACCAAAAACACCAATGTTGCTTTCAATCAAGTTTGCATTGGATAAAATCTTCGCGGTAACGTCTTGTTTGCTGTCAAATCAACTGTAACTGTCAAATAGTCCGTTGACTGCCTCAATCATTTTATGAAAAGTGTGATCATGGCTCGTGGTTTAGACGATAAATTTGAAGCAGCTTTGATATTTAGGGAAGCTGGAAGAAATTATCAAGCAGTCTGTATGTTCAATGATAGATTTCCCGAGAATCCTATTTCGAGGTCGTATTTGCGCAAACTTTTAAATAAGCTTCAAGCAACTGGTACGCTGATAGATGCTCCAAGATCAGGAAGACCACCTCTTTCAGAAGAAAAGGTAGAAATTGTTGCTGAAATTTATCTGACTCAGTCGACGTCTGCAGTTGCTGAATCCTGTGGAGTAAGTTCAAAAAGTGTCTAAAGAGTCAAAAAAAAAATCATCTCTATAAAATGAAAATCCTTCATGCTCTCACAGAGGATGATCCAGACCGGTGGGTTGAATTTTGTGAGTGGTTAACAAGAACAATTGAAGGAGAACGGGCCTTCCTAAAACGTGTATGTTTCTCAGATGAATGAACGTTTTTTTTCAATGGAAAAGTCAACAATTTGTTGGAAGCAACTTCATTTCCAGTACACAGCTTCGAAGATGATAGTACCCTCCATACCGCTTTCTCTTCCAGGGCTCCAATACCAGCCAGGCAAATCAAAAACGAACGAGAGAGAAATGTTGACAACATAAATATGGACTTGGCAACAATTTTCGAATGGGGATCCAATAATTCGGTAGATTTCAATGCAAACAATACACAAGCATGACTTTTCTCTAGAAAAGCCGATCTCACTGTACCCAACATAAGCTTGTCAGGAGTAACCCTACCTTTGAAGACATCAATTTCGATGCTTGGTATTACTATCAGCAATAACCTTTCTTGGGAAAATCACGTGAGATCAATAATCACTAAAAGTGCATCCAAAAACTTGGTTTCCTGTTTCGGACCAGGAGCTATTTCACTTCCAGTCAGCTGCTTATCCTGGAATACTGTTTCCATGTTTGGAGTGCAGCACCCAAATATACCCTGAAACTGTTGGATTCTGTCCAAAAAAAGGCAATTCGTCTCGTGGGTGATGCCTCGCTCACAAACTCACTTACTTCTCTGGAACACCGTAGAAAAGTTGTCGATCTAGCTCTATTTTATAGATATTTTCATGGACGATGCTCTTCTGAAATATCAACAATTGTTGCTCCCTTGGCAGTCCCCGCGAGATTAACCCATCGAGTTGAGGCTTCGCACCCGGAGTTCGCACCCCTTCGTGGTCACTTTGGAGACCTGCAGAACATTTCTTTTCCAAAGACTCGTTTATCCAAACGAACAGCGAGGCTCTGGAACACATTGCCAAGGGAGATGTTCCCCGAGGCATATAAGCTCCAGAAATTAAAGAGAAAAACCGATTCCTACCTACTTTCTCACGGTTTTCACGATGTTCTCTGAACATTACAGGATATCCCTCTTTGTGGGAACAAGAACAAGAAAAAAAAAGCGATACTACTCCGAATATTTTCAGAGAGGGACATTCCCAGTTTCCTGAAAAGGTGAATGTTTGGGCGGGGATTTAAGGCAATCGCCTTGTTGGGCCGATTTTCATCAGAGGCAATCTAACAGTAGTTATTTTAGAAACTCTTTTAGAAACTAAAAGTGAACCTCAAATAAGGCAAATTGTATTGAACAATCAGGAAGACTTAGGAAATCGTGAAATCATATTTCAGCCTGATGGAGCTCCTTTCCATTTAGATCGCAGTGCTAGAGACTAATTTTCCTGGGCGATGGATAGGTCGCAAGGGAAGTACAGAGTGGCAACCAAGATCTCCGGATCTTACACCTCTAGATTTTTTTCTTTGGGGGTATCAGATATCAAAAATCTACGCCAATGAATGCCAAACAAGAGTTGAAACGCAGAATAATAGATGCATGTGAAGAAATAGATGACTTTCATCAACGTGAGAAAAGCTATTTATAATAGGTCGTAGGTCCAGTGTCCAGAAGTGACAAAAATCCATACTTCAGTTCATACCGGAATGTCACCTTTCAAACGTTAATATCTCGAAAACAATTGAATTTAGGAGTAAAGTGTATTGGAAAAAACTGTTGGGATAATGAGCAAATTTCGAAAATGGAATAATTTACGGGGTGTTCTATTTGGCGCTCAGCCGCCATTTCAAAACTTTCAGATTTGATTTTCTCATGATAACGTTGATATCCTTTTAGAGCCCTACGAATTTGGTTGCGGTATATCAGGTAGTTCAAAAATTATTAGGAGAGGAACGGACTTTAGACGGGCACTGTATACAGTCTAGAAACCTATGATGGAATAAAATCTGTATCTTCATAACAAAAATATAATTAAAAAAATCATCGGAGAAGTCGAATTTTATTTGAAAAAATCTATTCTGCTACATAAATCATTTCAACTACCTGTCAACCTCCCACCCTACAGATCGAGCTAGCTATTCAAAAATTTTGAATTGCTAGACAGTTACTTCAAATCTCTAAACAACGGTCTATTTTTCTTTAAATTCGGTCGAGCCATTTCCGTAAGAAAGCATGCAGTGGAAAAATTCAAAATTTATTTTAATTTCCGTCTGAATTTTTGTTAATGACAAGTACTGTCTCGTTGTATTACTTTTACAGTTAATTCACCTACATTCAATTGTAATTCATGTATCAAGGGCGTAAAATAGGATTTTGTGGACCGCTGCATGTCGGCTGCATGTAAGTATGAGTCCGAGCAACCCAGATCATAGATGTTATTTTTCAAGCAAACCACTTTAATCCATCCTTGTGCTGATGAAAATCACATCCTGATTAGCTGGCCTCGAATCATCTCGTTATTTCAAGTCAACGAACTTTGAATAGGGATATATTATAACGAGTTGATCATCCCTTTCAATGTTTCCTTTTCGTCAACATCCATCCAAGTCTTATTTTCTATATAACTCTCAATCATAATATTTATCTATATATATACTCTACCGACCTTGTATACCATGCAGAATGTGATAAGTAGATGAATATGTGAGACGGAAAGAATGAAGGACATTATTTTTTGCAGAGAAATATTCGCAGATATATTATGAACATGAAAAAATTCATATATATATACAGTATGATGCAAATGTATGGAATAAATTCATTATTTCAGAAATGGGCGACATTTGAAGAAATTCCAAAAACACGTGAGTTTTAATTTTTGAAGCCTCATCACATGACATTCATATGAGAGATGTTACGTCACTGGTGTAGAAGTAATGACGTAATGGACGATTTTCTCAAATACAAGCAGGGGTCATGTGACACCTCGTTTGAAAGGTCTACTGATCGTCTATCCAACAGTCAAAATTTTGCATAAGAATATTGCAATTGAAATTGATTATCATTTGGTTAACTGAATCTTGCAGAGGTCTGCTACTGAGAATTGAACATCGAAGAGTCGTCTAGTTGAAAAAATACACAATAAAAAAAGTTCTGAACTCTAGTTTTTGGATTTTTTTCGGAAGTCGTCTTGTTTTGAAATGAACTTATTCCATACATTTGCATCATACTGTATATGAAACTTAGTAGTGGAGAAGCAGCAAAGTAAAAGTGAAACTCATGCAAGTTTGTCCAAGCTTTCGGAAAGTTATATTTCCATCATCAGGGCCAGACTACAAAATGTTATAAAAATGATTAGCAAAGTCATTTAACTATGGAGTGCAGTACTTACAACTCATTGAGGTTGGTTACATTGATGTTACTAAAAACGGTATATATAATTAAAAAATACATTTAGAATTCGAATTCTCTATGTGATGGACATTTCAATATTTCTTGGTATATTCAACAGAAAACAACTACTTTCCTGGCTATATGCCACGACGAACATTGAATTATATCTATCGAACACACACTATAAGAATTTGAAATTGAAATCTTCTGAAGTTGAGAATTTGCATTCTCCTTCAGATTTAAATATGTATGCACATAATATTATTCTGAATATTCAACAGAAAACAACTACTTTCCTGGCTATTTGCCACGTCGAACATTGAATTATATCGGTTGAACATTCAAAAGGAGAACATGATAATAAAAATCCTCTGAAATTGAGAATTGATATTCTCTATAAAAATATAACTTACCAATATGTTCATTATTGGATTGAAAATTGAAATGTATAGAAGAAGTATACATAAACTCTAATCGTTA